AGCAGACGCTACTATTCTATTTTAATTCTACTTTATATTTATCTTTTTTCTTTATTTTTTTATTCTTTATTAAAAAAAACAAAACACTAGTTTTCTATTTTTTCTATTCTATCTACTTGTTTTTCTTTGTTTGTGTGTGTGTGTATATGTGTGTGTGTGTGTGTATAATATATATATATATATATATACACACCTTGCTACGTGTACTGCGTTAGGCTAACCGAGACTTGTCATTTGCACTTATATATTGTTGTTCTTTTGTTAGTTTTGACTGCTTTTATTGTCCTCATTTGTAAGTCGCTTTGGATAAAAGTGTCTGCTAAATGACTAAATGTAATGTAAACTGAACAAAAGAAAATTAGAACTGTCGATTTAACCAGATTTAACAGTTCAATAAACAAGAAGTTAATATTATGTTACATTTTAGATACAATATTGTCTGTTTTTGCTCAGTTTGGCAAATTAAAATAGAATTGTTGTGCATCTCCGAGCAATAAACAGCAGTTTTGTTACTGAATGAATTCGCATTTTTTAACAAATCAAGTTAGTCAATGATTCAGTGACTCGTTCATAACGAGTCATTTGCTTTGTTTCTGAATGAATCAGCTGTTTGAATGAATCGGTTGAATGAATGATTCAATGACTCTCTCATTAAGTCTGACAGTTACCTACTGACAGTTTTAGATTCATATTTAGAGTATCATCTCATGTTTTTAAAAACCAATTCATATTTTAATATTTTTTAAACCCATTAATGCACATTTAATCGCCATTAACCTCAGAATTATTTATGTAACTGTAATTACAGTGTAAATGCATTCATGCTGTCTCTGAACAGCCTAAATGCCACTTCAAATGCAGCTTCTGAAAACAATGTTATGGCCACATTGTAGCCTTGAAAGTTTATGTGTAATAAATATTTTGTTGAAATCAAATATTTCTTTCTAAAGCTACTTTTTTTGTGTGTACTTTTTCATCTATTCAGTGCTTTTCTAATTTAAAACAACAATGACTTAATCTTTTAGGGGTTAATTTCTCAGCCCAAACTGATGTGATTCATTTGCTATTAATTCATTAATCAGCATATCATGTAATTTAGGAAAAAAAAAAAAAAAAAGAATCGCTTCACAGCCCTAATAAAAAAATGAAATCTTTTTTGTAGTTTGATTTTGAAAGGTAGATGGGCTCCATTCGGAAGTATGTTGTGTGAAATCCCCAGTAAAACAATGAGAATTGATTTATTTACTAGGAAAGAGTGCTGATATAATACAGGCACACATATCTGCAGTCACAAACCTCAGCTGTCCAGCAGTAAGTACTGTGTTTTCTTCATTTTATAGTGTTCATTTTCACAGTTCAGCTGGATTGTTCATCATGAGCGAGTGAAGATTGAGGCCAGACCAAAACCTGCTTTCACTGTGCCACTTCCACATCGTGAGGACAGAGATCGAGTTTTCGGTGGCAAAAGACACTTCTAAGATTGTAATTGTGACTATTTTTGCATGTTATCAAAGCGGGGTTGAAGTGGTGTTAAGAGCCTTCCAGCGCTAGGCAGGAAGAATGCGTTCCTTCATAAAACAGGAGGAGTTTTGAGAGAAATTAAAGGGTTTCAGAAGGAGGAGAAGTCAATTGACTCCAAGGGGTGAGATTACAGCATGAGCTCTGCTTAAGAAAGACTGCGAGTTTGCCAGCGCTGGAATAGAGATCCATGAGAGAATGAGGGAATCATGCTGGAGATGAGCTGAAATTATGAAACGATATACCGATTTTCAAGTTCTAATGAACTGAAGGTGAGAGATCATAACAACACACATTTATGTATCAATATCACTAAAGTTCAACACGCTTTCAGAAGGAACAAGTGAATGATGTCAATATCATGCAAAAATGTCCTCATTACTTTGACTTCATTTCTTCATGAGCAGCACGTGTCAAATGTGGAATGGGGAATGCCATGGGAATATGACAGTCATAAACATAAGGCCAAAAATGATGTGAAAATCAAAGGGAAAACGGTTTTAAAAAATTGTCAGCTGCAAAGTGTAAAAAAAACAAAAACAATCAAGAACATTGCAATAATTAACTTGGGCTGTATGGAATATATACAGTACTTGTTAAAAGTTTGGAAACATTATGATTTTTAAATGTTTTTTTATTAGGTCTCTTCTGCTCACCAAGGCTGCATTTATTTGATCGAAACACAGTAATATTGTTACAATTTAAAATAGATGTTTTCTATGTGAATCTCTGTTAAACTGTAATTTATTTCTGTGATGCGCAGCTGTATTTTCAGCATCATTACTCCAGTCTTCAGTGTCACATGATCTTCAGAAATCATTCTAATATGCTGATTTGCTGCTCAGTTACCCTTTAAGATGTGTTCACATTTACTGCTGTCTGGCAATTTTTATTTGCATTATTGGCAATAGACAGTGGACAGTGAAATTTGTGATTGACTGGATTTTGCCCACAAACAATGGAAAATATGACCACACTTATTCACAACAAAAAGAAAAAACAAAACGGTAAAAAAACGGTAACTTGTGACTTTTTATCTTACAATATTTTTTTTTATCTCTCACTATTCTGACTTTTTTTCTAAGAATTGCGGGATATAAAGTCAGAATCCTAATATATAAACTCAGAATTATCAAATGAAAACTACAAGAAAAACTCTGAATTGTGAGATACAAATGTTACTTTTTTAATTCCTTGCCAGGCTTCAATACGTTTCCTCTGTTAGCTGCAGGTTAAACATCTTAAAGTTCGGCTCACCCTCCTCCTTTGTCTTTTCCTCTCTCATACTCTCCTGTGCTTTCAGTGCTTCATCGGTTTTAGCTGAAATAAGAAAAAAAGCACATTGCAATCTTAGTAATGAGTTATAAACAGCACATTTAATACATCATTAGGACATCTTCTATGCTTTAATGTCTCTCTGCATATGTACACTTCTCCCAGTTTGCACACCTTAAGCACATACTTATCAAATAATTTTTCAGCGTGCTAATTAAAAGCCTGAGAGAAACCCTTACGCGGTGGAAACAGTTTGTGTACAAGTCTTATGGCAATTCATTTAGTCTGTTGACTCGCTTCTCTCCTGCCCTCCACATAATGAAGACGTTAGCCGAGATGAAGACATATAGTGAGCAGTGAAGGGGGACTATCAATACAGCCTGTAAATTAATTACACCTCTGTTCCCGCACGTAATTTATTCTAAAGCGTTCGTGTCTCCCAGGAGCAATTTGCCTTTATTGCTGTTTCACTCGCTGATGAGAGGAGTCATGCAAAATTGAGTCCCTCATAACATTACCTTCTACGAGTTTCAAGTGAAAGGAGAGGGGAGGGTAATCACAGTCATTAAGAAAAGCAAATTGTACAGTTCAGTCCAAATTCAAGTGGATAATATGATTGTTTGAGTGGACATTAGAAAAAAGGCACGATGTGGTTGGCATGCTAAAACTGAACAACCCTCAGTTTCTGTCTACCAATGCTCCACAAATCTTTTAACCAGCGTATTTATTATTTATGTATAAACAAAACATTTTTTAAATATATACGTGCATGTGTGTGTATTTCTATATACATAATAAATATACATAGTACACACACATATATATTATGTAAAGAAAAACTTTTATTTTGGATGCGTTTGACAGTACTAATATAAGGCTGCACAACTTGGCCAAAAAAATATATTGCAATTATTTTTTTATATATGGCGATTTTAATAGCAATGTGACATTTCTCATATGAAAACTTTTCATATTGCTGCTGATGAAACCAACTTGCAGGGTCTTTAAAATTATTATTATTAGTTTTAAATGTAATTATAAAAACTAAGGCGTAAATATATCACTGTTGTAAACTGCAGTTAAAAAAAATGAATATTTCATAATTATGAAAAATTATTTAATTTTGCACTACAAGTCAGCAACATTTACGTCTCAAATTCTTCATTTCCAAATGTTCAAACCCTCAAGCTTTTATTTATTTTGGCAGAAAACTGATGCAATTCTGTTAACTTCTGTCCACAGATACAGTATGTTGGAAATTGTGTGAATGCATAAATGTGAACCAAGGTGGAATCAAGCACACCACAAATGCATGTTCCCAAAATGCATGTAAAACTCGCAGCGCATACAGAGATGGAGTTTGTGAAAAGCAGCATTTACTGTGATCAATGTGCCTTGTTGCCACTGATTCTACAAGACTCTGTAACTCTACTGGAGGGATGGAAACCAAATTGTACATAAGATATTCCTTCATTTGGTGTTTTGATGATGGTGGTGGAGAATGCTGTCATATTGGCCCAAAAACGTCCATTGGTGTGTAAATGCACTGAATTCTGGTGACTGTGAAGGACATGCACATGATTTTCATCCTCATCAAGCCATTCAGTCACCTCTCGTGCCCTATGGATGGGTGCACTGTTATCTCAAAAGAGACCACTGCCATCAGAACAGCAATGTTTTATTGCAGAAAAAGGTGATCACTCAGAACAATGTTGTATTGATTTGCAGTCTCTTCTAAGGCAGGGACATCCAAATGTTTTAGCCAAACCCCTTTAACATTAAATATTCACTCAAAGTACCCCCTAAGTTAATATATCTGTAATTTAACATTTTCACAGCTCTCTCTTGGTTAATGGTCAAATGGCATGCAGGTAAACGGATTTATTTACAGTATTTATTCTTTTTTTCAGTAAATGTTTTACTTTGCTTGTTTTATTTTTAAAATTATTTATATATAATAGTGCTGTCAAACGATTAATCATGATTAATCGTGATTAATCGCATCCAAAATAAAAGCTTTTGTTTACATAATATATATGTGTGTGTACTGTGTATATTTCTAATGTATATATAAATACACAAACATACATGTATAAAACTTTTCATATTGCTGCTGATGAAACCAACTTGCAGGGTCTTTAAAATTATTATTATTAGTTTTAAATGTAATTATAAAAACTAAGGCGTAAATATATCACTGTTGTAAACTGCAGTTAAAAAAAATGAATATTTCATAATTATGAAAAATTATTTAATTTTGCACTACAAGTCAGCAACATTTACGTCTCAAATTCTTCATTTCCAAATGTTCAAACCCTCAAGCTTTTATTTATTTTGGCAGAAAACTGATGCAATTCTGTTAACTTCTGTCCACAGATACAGTATGTTGGAAATTGTGTGAATGCATAAATGTGAACCAAGGTGGAATCAAGCACACCACAAATGTTTGTTCCCAAAATGCATGTAAAACTCGCAGCGCATACAGAGATGGAGTTTGTGAAAAGCAGCATTTACTGTGAACCGTGAGATGCTGAAACTTTGCGTAAAAACTGCACACGTACAGCTCTTCAATCTGAAACACACACACACAAAAAAACGTATTTCATTAAATTGCAGCCTTTGATTTGATAATAATAATTAATATTTTATTTTGATCAGTTGTGCAGCCCCATTTACTTATTTATTCATTTATTTAGTTAGCAATATTTATTTAACAATATTGTTGGAATCACTTTCAGAACATTTTTTTTCTTTTCTTTTTTTCCACTAATGAATGAAAACAAAACATTGACAGCCAATCAGAATCCACCCCTGAGAGCTTATGCATTTAAAGCTGCAGTGTGTGCTTATAATAAACAGAGCGTTATTGTTTGTTGGTGTGGACGTTAATATGTGACCCTGGAGCACAAAACCAGTCTTAAGTCGCTGGGGTATATTTGTAGCAATAATCAAAATTATCAATTTTTCTTTTATGCCAAAAATCATTAGGATATTAAGTAAAGATCATGTTCCATGAAGATATTTTGTAAATTTCCTACCGTAAATATATCAAAACTTCAGTTTTGATTAGTAATATGCATTGCTAAGAACTTCATTTGCACAACTTTAAAGATGATTTTCTCAATATTTCGATTTTTTTGCACCCTCAGATTCCTGATTAGTTGTATCTCGACCAAATATTGTTCTATCCTAACAAACCATACATCAATGGAAAGCTTATTTATTCAGCGTTCAGATGATGTATACATCTCAATTTAAAAAAATTGGTTTTGTGCTCCAGGGTCACATATAGTAATCTTCATAATGATCATTCATGGCGTTAATGGGTTTTAACAGAGCCACTGGATTTTCATTTGTCATCCGTCTGTATAGGAGCTGAAGCTGATGATGCACACATTAGATATAGCATAATCACAGCATTAGATAACGCGTCACTATCCGCAGCAGAAAGCTAAAGACTTTCACTTCATCTGCACTTAATCCCAGTTTGGTTGGCAGGATGGATAGTGGAGCCTCCGCTGAAATTCAATTGTGATTATGTGTGTAATTGCAGCTCTGGGCCCCTAGAGTCATGTAGGCATGCAGGACTATGTTTCATTGAAATGATCACACAGAAACAAATCCATCCACCTCCGTCATCCAGTGGGCTGATTAGCAGCGATGGCTCGTTAGAATCCGATGCAATAAGGCAAACATCAGCGAGAAATGGCCGGGGCCCATTATCAGTGATTGATGGAGTGCTGGTGCGTTGAACACGGGGGCTCAGAGGGGCCCGCCATTTAGATTGAATCAAGCGCTTCAGCTTTATCGGGTTTATCCGCAACCGTAGAGCCACACGCAGAAGCGGAAACTTTCTGTCCCTCTTTACACAGCAGCAATTCATTGATATAACACCGCCGACTGAAGGAGGTTACCGGCTCCTGAAATAACATTAAGCGGACATGTGAGATAGGATATTGAATTCAAGCGTGCGGGAGTGTCGAGCTGAAGCCGCGCTAAAGCAGGACCGATGAGCTGCTTTGTTTGGGCGAAGTTTACAGTGCGTTTGAGAACGTCAATGCATGAAAAAGCGTTGTGAAACTGAAAGGATTGTGGAGTAAGCGATACAAACACCTGAATCACAGTGCTGTGATGGAAGGAAAGTAAAAAGAAAAGTGTGAAATTATCAAATATTTATCCAGAAACACTGATCACCTTTTAGCCTCATCAATTAACACATAATAGAATTAACTTAACTCTAAACTCTTTTATCTCAGGATGAACGGCTGAGGGAACACACTTTGTAACCGTTCTACAGAACGGGTTTAAATTTAGAGTAAGTCATATTTAAAAATGTTTGTCTTTTCATGCCATGCTTCTAGTAAAAGAACATTCAATTTGCATACAATATTTTCATATTGTTATGGAATACACCTCATGCACATTTGTTTTCACTATATTACAAAGGATTATATTTATTAGTGCTGTCAAACGATTAATCACATTTTTGTTTGCATAATATATGTGTGTGTACTGTGTATATTCATTATGTATATATTATAAATACATATATTTAATATATAAACATAACATTTTTTTCTGAAATATATACATGTGTGTGTGTGTATTTATATATACATAATAAATGTACACAGTACAAACACACATATAGTATGTAAACAAAAACTTTTATTTTGGATGCGATTAATCGCGATTAATCGTTTGACAGCACTAATATTTATCTATTATCTATTTTATTTATCTGTTATTTTCAACCTCCCTGTAAAAATGTTTTAACAGATTTTTCTAAAAGATTTTCAACTGTCAACAATCTCAATAAAAAGCCATTATATTAAAAAAAATCAATTGTTCCCATCATTATTGTATTTTGAAGGACAAACACTACTGTTGAATTTTAACTTTACACTTAAACAGAAATCACCATCATTTTAAAACAAGCGAGTGAAATAAACAGTACTATTCGACAACCTGAGAACATCTTTTTTCAGTATGTTTACAGTACAGTCTTTCCCGATCCTTTAATTATGTTTATTGATTTAAATTTA